CATGCTTAATAGAGCAAACTTGATCATTGACTGATATGAAAGATGCTGAAACCAATCTACATAGCCATTTAAGTATATTTTGACTGCATATCAATCAATGTAAAACGTGTTGAATAATCGAACCAGAATGTAACAAATGTATTTCAGCGTTAAAGAGGAAAAGAAACTGCGGAGATTTTCTCACACACCAATAAGTGATTAAAATCTAGCAACCGCCATGTGCCTGTTGCCAAGGCCTCAGACTGCCTTAGTGTCATCTACTTTACGATAAATTGGGGATAGTTTTAATTGTGATGTTTTCTGTTATGAATTTCTTGTTTACTGCCTTTTGGCATTATATAAAATATAATTTTCAGAAATTTAGCTATTTATATATAAATATATATATATATATATATATATATATATTTTTTTTTTTTACATCTAGCACTTGTTTCTCTTTTTATTTTTTAAGTTCTGATTTCTTGATTTTATATTATAAATGTTGTATCCCATAATGTAGTGTGTGTGTGTGTAGCATGGAAATATACATTCATTGCATCACTGGAGGAATGTCATCTGCACATGCTTATAGAAATATAGGTAGAGGATATGCCTAGGGCAGGAGTACTCAACCTGATGTTGTGGATGACAACCCCTATAATGCTCTTAGAACCATAATTCTGGCAAAGCATCAGGAGTGCCAAAGGTAGCCTACCTCCTGGCCTAGTGTATCATGGGAGGATATTGAAACGGCTACGTGAAGGTAAGTACTTTTTAAACTCGCTTGTGTTGCATGCCTATAAATCGAATAAGACTAAACAGGTAAATTCCAGAAAATCGATGCATCATCACATGGATTTAAAATTGGGAGGCCCAAAGGGTAGAACCCCAGATGTTTTAAAACTACAGCTTCCATGATGCTTTGTCATTCTAAAGGCATTCAAAGCATCATGGGAGATGTGGTTTTACCACATCTGGGGATATACCTTTTTGGGCCCCCCTGCGATAAACTGTCCATAACAGAATTTTGCTCAAGTCTTATACACGTCTAAGAATACTTAGAAAGACCACACAAAATTGGAGTTACAGGACTGGTACTCTCTTACATACATGCGGTAGTACAAAAGTGTCTAATACTATTCCATAGGCATCTGATGCAAATTGGGTGAAAAAAATGTCACTTTTCATCAGCTGTCGGAAATAACTGCAAATGGAAAATGGTAAGTTGCAACCTATTTGAAAATCCAACTTTTGCAACATTTAATAAAAAAAAAAAAAAATCAAATCCTTCATAAAACCAGATGGCCTCTTCTTTTGACATGTCTTCTGACTGATAGAATTTTAGTCAATGCAGCCTGTTTTCCTATGGTATTTATGGCAGGTGTGCCCCATAGGTAGATCCCCAGATGTTGTAAAACTACACCTTCCATGATGCTTTGCTTGCCTTGAGGATGACAAAGCATTATATAAGCTGTTGTTTGGAAACATCTGGGGATCTACCTTTTTGACACCCTTGCCTTACGGTGAAATCTAAGAAGTGACAACCCAACTTTAAAGAGAAAACTCAAAGTCTGCATGTATATACTGGGATACATACAGGGTTGATCATCTACACAAAATGAAGAAAAAGTCAAAATTTCTCTAATAAATAAAAATATTAACGGTGCCATCTTAGAATACTGAAATGCAAGTGATTTAACATAGACACATAGAATGTGACGGCAGATAAGAACCATTCGGCCCATCTAGTCTGCCCAATTTCCTAAATATTTTCATTAGTCCCTGGCCTTATCTTTCTAGTTAGGATAGCCTTATACCTATCCCACGCATGCTTAAACTTCTTTACTGTGTTAACCTCTACCACTTCAGCTGGAAGGCTATTCCATGCATCCACTACCTTCTCAGTAAAGTAATACTTCCTGATATTATTTTTAACCCTTTGTCCCTCTAATGTAAGACTATGTCCTCTTGTTGTGGTAGTTTTTCTTCTTTTAAATATAGTCTCCTCCTTTTCTGTGTTGATTCCCTTTATATATTTAAATGTTTCTATCATATCCCCCCTGTCTCGTCTTTCCTCCAAGCTCTACATGTTAAGATCCTTTAACCTTTCCTGGTAAATTTATCCTGCAATCCATGAACCAGTTTAGTAGCGCTTCTCTAAACTCTCTCTAAGGTATCAATATCCTTCTGGAGATACGGTCTCCAGTACTGTGTACAATACTCCAAGTGAGGTCTCCCCAGTGTTCTGTACAATGGCATGAGCACTTCCCTCTTTCTACTGCTAATACCACCCATTGTACAGCGCTACGGAATTTGTTGGCGCTATATAAATAATAAAATAATAATAATAATACCTCTCCCTATACAACCAAGCATTCTGCTAGCATTTCCTGCTGCTCTATGACATTGTCTGCCTACCTTTAAGTCATCAGAAATAATCACCCCTAAATCCCTTTCCTCATATGTTGAGGTTAAGACTCTATCAAATATTCTGTACTCTGCCCTTGGGTTTTTACGTCCAAGATGCATTATCTTGCACTTATCCACATTAAATGTCAGTTGCCACAATTCTGACCATTTTTCTAGTTTACCTAAATCATTTGTCATTTGGCTTATCCCTCCTGGAACATCAACCCTGTTACATATCTTAGTATCATCAGCAAAAAGACATACCTTACCATCAAGACCTTCTGCAATATCACTAATAAAAATATTAAAGAGAATGGGTCCAAGTACAGATCCCTGAGGTACCCCACTGGTGACAAGTCCAAGCTTCGAATATATTCCATTAACTACAACCCTCTGTTGCCTGTCACTCAGCCACTGCCTTACCCATTCAACAATATTGGAATCCAAACTTAAAGATTGCAGTTTATTGATAAGTAGTGATGTGCCGAAGTTTCAAGGAGAGCATCAATTCTCAGTCAGCAGACACATTCCAAAATCAGCAGTAGAGTCCCTCCCAGACCCTCCACCTCCTGGACAGCATCCATTTTGAAGCTGCATTCTTAGTGAGCTGTCCAGGAGGTGGGAGGGTCTGGGAGGGAGGGTCTGCTGCTGATTGGCTGGAATGTGTCTGCTGACTGGAGTCCGCGGCGAACCGTTCGGGACATCACTATTGATAAGCCTTCTATGTGCAACAGTAAGCAATGTCTACTGCACCACACTGATCTATAATTTTAGTTACCCAATCAAAAAAATCAATAAGATTAGTTTGGCATGATCTCCCTGAAGTAAACCCATGTTGTCTCTGATCTTGAAATCCATGTGTTTTTAGTTGTTCAACAATCCTATCCTTTAACATGGTTTCCATCACTTTTCCCCCTACTGCTATGCATTAGTTTCACGTTCCACTTTTTGGAGGTTTGGATGTTGTCTAATCTGTAGACAGTTCTCTATCTTGCGGCAGGAGATTGTATTTTTGAAGTCTGAGATTTGTAAATATCTGGTGAACAAACTCAGACTGGAACTGCTGCAAAGCCACTGCCGCAGAGACATACTAGGAAAGGCAGATGGATTACTGTAGGATCTGGTAGACTTAGAGTTGTGGATAAAAGGCATATTGCACAGTCTGTTGCTCTTCATAATTCATTTTCTGCACTTTCAGAGTATAATGGTGTTGTGGAGAGAGGCACTGTGGCTAGTGGTGTTGTGGAGAGAGGCACTGAGGCTAGTGGTGTTGTGGAGAGAGGCACTGAGGCTAGTGGTGTTGTGGAGACCGGCTTGGAGACTATGGTGAGGCCTAATAGAAAGTAGTTGTTGTTGGGGGATTCTGTCATAAGAGGTGTGGAGATGGACAATGGTGGTTTTGTGAGGTGTCTTCCCGGAGCTACTGCTCACAGAGACAGGAGACGTATCTGTAATATTGTTAAGCGAGAAAAGCAGGAAGGGGAATTGGATGTACTTGTCCATCTAGGGACAAATGACTTGGCTTGCAATGAGGTTTCAGAAGTTAAGCAAATTTTTAGTGTTTTTGCCAATGATATACGGCAGGTTGCTTCCACACTGTCCTTCTCTGAAGTTCTGTCTGTGCATAACACTCAGACCGACAGGCGGATGCATATTAGGGACTTTAAATTGTGGCTTGGTGAATGGTATCGGGAGCAAGGATTTGGCTTTATTTCTCATGGTAGCTCTGTTTGGAATGGAAATAAACAGTACAAAAAAAGATGGTTTGCAGCTTTCTCAAAAGGGAACAAATGTTCTCAGTGAGCAGTTCAGCAGTTTTGCTAGGATGTATTTAAACTAGGAGGGGGAGGGCAAAAGGGTGATAAAACATAAATCCAATTGTCCCACAAAACAAGGACAGAAGGTGCCTGTAACAAGTGTGTTAAAAAATGATAAGCTTAGAGTTATGTCTACAAATGCTCGCAGTTTAGGGAATAAGATCCATGAACTTGTGGCAATAATGGCAACTGATAGTGTAGATTTAGTCGCTGTTACTGAGACATGGTATAATGAGAAAGATGACTGGGACATAGCAATACCAGGGTACTCTTTATATAGAAAAGACAGGGAAGGAAAGAAATGGGGAGGGGTGGCCCTGTATTTGAAGGATAGCATAAAATCTAGCATAATAAAAGTTAGTGAGGCGAACATAGAGTCCGTTTGGGTTACTTTAGAATTTGGTAATCACACAGTAACTCGTGTAGGTGTGATTTATAGGCCCCCAGGACAAATTGAAGAGTTAGATAATCTACTAGTTGAGGAAATAGCTAAAATGACAATGAAGGGGGAAGTTATCATCATGGGTGACT